CCAGCACTTTGGGAGGCCAAGGTGGGTGGATCACCTGAGGTCAGCAGTTTGAGACCAGCCTAGCTGACATGGTGAAGCCCTATCTCCACTAAAAATACAGAAATTAGCCAGGCTTGACCGGGCATGTGGCTCACGCCTGGAATCCCAGCACTTTGGGAGGCTGAGGCGGGCGGATCACCTGAGGTCAGGAGTTCGAGACCAGCCTGACCAACATGCAGAAACCCCGTCTCTACTAAAAATACAAAATTAGCCAGGCGCGGTGGCATGCCTGTAATCCCAGCTACTCGGGAGGCTGAGGCAGGAGAATCGCTTGAACCTCGGAGGCAGAGGTTGCAGTGAGCTGAGATCACGCCATTACACTCTAGCCTGGGCTCAAAACTCCATCTCAAAAAAGAGCCGGGCTTGATGGTGCAGCTTATAGTCCCAGCTACTTGGGAGGCTGAGGCAGGAGAATCACTTGAACTGAGATCACACCACTGCACTCCAGACTGGGCAATAGAGCAAAACTGTCTCAAAAAAATAATAGTAATAATAAATCAGTCTTGCTTTAGTTAACAAGATGAGAGTCTTGTTCTGTTTATTTTTGAGAGAGTCTTGTTCTGTCGCCCAGGCTGGAGTTCAGTGGCACGATCTCGGCTCACTGCAACCTCCACCTCCCACGTTCAAGTGATTCTCCTGCCTCAGCCTCCCAAGTAGCTGGGATTACAGGCGCCCGCCACCATACCTGGCTCATTTTTGTATTTTTAGCAGAGACGAGGTTTCACCATATTGGCCAGGCTGGTCTCGAACTCCTGACCTCAAGTGATCCAGCTGCCTGAGCCTCCCAAAGTGCTGGGAATACAGGCCTGAGCCACCGCGACCAGCAGGACTGATTTGTGTAAGCAGGTCCTTGACTTACTTTTCTGCAAGCTAAAAAGAGATCGTTTAATGTGTTTCTAACCTATTGATCAAGGCAGACTCCCAGCAGCTTATCTGTGCATGGAGATCACTGACACCTCAAAAGAAAAACCCACCTTCTCTAAGTTAGTCTCCAGCTTGCTTTCTGCCCATTTGAGGTCCCCTTGTTTATACTAAGGTTGACCCATTTCCGCAGATATTTGCCTCCCAAGCCACAAAATTAACATAGATCTCAGAGGCTGCAATAAGCTGGCTAACAACGAATAACGGCCATTCCCCACCACATAAGCCTCTCCTCACCTTTTTCCTTGGAGCCAGTGTCCACGAAGAAAAGTTTTTCATTTGGAGCCTCTGACAACAAGCCACTGGGGGACAGAAATGCAGAACATCAGCCAGAGATGTTGGAGGAGAAAGAGATTTAACCTGGTAGCCCCAGCCTTCCTCTTCTTAGTCAAGTCCCACCACGGGACTTGGCCTCTTCCGGGCTAAGGCCTCACCCTGCAGTTTACAGAACTTAATATTTGGGAAGGACTGCCGGGCACGGAGGCTCATGCCTGTAATCCCAGCACTTTGGGAGGCCCAGGAGGGTGGATCACCTGAGGTCAGGAGTTCAAGACCAGCCTGGCCAACATGGTGAAACCCTGTCTCTACTAAAAATACAAAAATTAGGCCGGGTGCGATGGCTCACACCTGTAATCTTAGCACTTTAGGAGGCCGGGACAGGTGGATTACCTAATGTCAGGAGTTCAAGACCAGCCTGGCCAACATGGGGAAACCCTGTCTCTACTTAAAATACAAAAATTAGCCAGACGTGGTGGTGTATGCCTGTAATCCCAGCTACTTGGGAGGCTGAAGCAGGAGAATCACTTGAACCCTGGAGGCAGAGGTTGCAATGAGCCGAGATCGTGCCATTGCACTCCAGGCTGGACTACAGCGAGAAGCGAGAGACTCTGTCTCAAAAAAAGAAGAAGAAAGAAAACAGCCGGGCGTGGTGGCGCCCGCCTGTAATCCCAGCTACTCAGGAGGCTGAGGCAGGAGAATCGCTTGAGCCTGGGAGGCGGAGGTTGCGGTGAGCTGAGATAGCGCCACTGCACTCCAGCCTGGGTGATAGAGCGAGACTCCGTCTCAGAAACATATATATATATACACACACACACACACATATATAGCAAGGAGCAAGCTAAGGTGGAGGCATGGAATGTATTTATGCTAAAAATTATTCATTGTTTACCCAAAATCCAAATTTAAGCGTCCTGTATATTTATCTGCTAAACCTGGTAACTCTATCAAGCTCTCCAGCTTCCCATGCTGAGTCCCCTGACCATGCTCTCCATTTCCTCGGCGGTCCCCGAGACAGCTGCCCCCCAACCCCCGCCACCGACCCACCCACGCAAACACGACTGGCCTAGCACCTGGGCGCAGGAACCGTCCCAGTTCCCGGAAGTCCCGCCCCCCGTACCCGCTCGTGCGCTCCTGTAGCCGCACGTCTTCCAGGAACTGGTCAACCTCCAACCCCAGCGGCTCCTGAGCTAGCCGCCGCCAGCCCCGCTTCTTATTTCTTGGGCCTCGCCGCCGCCGCCTCAGCGCTGGGTCCACCGAAGTAGGCCGCAGCCCCAGGAAACCAGAATCGGCATCACTTTTCGAGCTGTGCTTCCCACCACCTCCACGGCCTCCTGCCGCCATCTTGTCAAAGAAAGAATTCAGCTGGTGGCGTCCCAAAAAGCCCCTTTGCAGCATGCGCGCGCAGATTTCCCGCCCTCTTCCGTGACGTACTTCCTGTGGCAGCCATATTTGTAAAGTGACTGGAGTTGCCAGAAGGCTGTCATCTTGGTAAAGGATAAATGGCTACCCCTTCCTCCATTCTTTACAGCGGGATCTGAAGACTCCTAACGGCGGCGGGTGGTAGAAGAGAGATGGGAAGGTTGCAGTTTCTTGGCTCTCGCCCTTAACCGAACACCTGGCCGCCTGGGGTCTTCGCTCAAACTGATTTTTTTCTTTAATAGACAAGGTCTCACTTTGTTGCCCCCAGGCTGGAGTGCAGTGGAAGGGTAATAGCTCACTGAAGCCTCCAACTCCTAAACTCAGAGATCCTCCTACCTCAGTCTCCCAAGTAGCTGCGACCACAGAAGCGTGCAACCACACCTGGCTAATTTTTTATTTTTATTTTTTGTAGAAATGGAGCCTCCCCATGTTGCCCAGGCTGGTCTGGAACATCTGGTTTCAAGTGATCCTCTTTCCTAGACCTTCCAAAGTGCTGGGATTACAGCCTCACACCACCACTCCTGGTCCAAACTGATGTGGTTTTTTTTTCAAGAGACAAAGATCTCACTATGTTGTCCAGGCTGGTCTTGAACCCCAGGGCTCAAGTAATTCTCCCTCCTCAGCCTCCGAAAGTGCTCAGATTACAGATGTGAGCCACCATGCTCGGCCTTACAATTTTTTAATCTCGTTTTCTTCGAACAGTCAGTGGCAGATTCTGCACAGCACATGTTCCACTCTCAGTTTTGTCATCTCAAATGTTCCAATCCTAGGATCTTGGAAATCAAGTAACTTTCGGAATATCAAAGTTGGAAGCACAGAACATTAGAGGAATGTTAGAAACATACACTTTTAGGACCCTAGAAGTGCAGACTCAAGAATCATTCATCTTGAGCAGGCTACTTCGCTGTGCCTCAGTTTCCTCATATGCAAAATAAGGATGATAACGGTACATCTGCCTCATAAATCATGCAGAAGATTAAACATATGTAAAGCACTTAAGGCTGCGTCTGGCATCTGAGTGTTAGCTGTTGTTAGTGCCTTGCCCTCTGAGGCTTCATCTTAGAATCAACTCATCTTTGCTATTTACAAATAAGGAAGGAAGCTCGGAGGCTCTTGGGCCCTGGCAGCCATTCAAAGGGATCCATGGCAGGGGGCGTGGTGATTCACGCCTGTAATCCCAGCACTTTGGGAGGCCGATGCAGGAGGATGGCTTGAGCCCAGGAATTCAAGACCAGCCTGGGCAACATAGTGAGATACTGTGTCTGCCAAAAATTTAAAAATTAGCTAGGCGTGGTGGTGTGCGCCCGTAGTCCCAGGTACTCAGGAGGCTAAGGTAGGAGGATCGCTTGAGCCCAGGAGTTGGAGGGTGCAGTGAGCCGTGATTGCACCATTGTACTTCAGCCTGGGTGACAGCAAGACCCTGTCTCAAAAACAAAACAAATCAAAGGGAACCAGACCTCATAAAAGTCACTTTGGACTCATAAAGGAAAAAGGCACAGAGAGGGAAGGCGCCACACTCATGGTCACACACAACTGAACTCAGCTGGATCCTTGCGCAGAGCTTTGGAAAGGTGACAGGCCCTGGATCGTAGCCCCGGGACCTGAGCGCCTGACCGCCTGGGACGGAGATTTTGGAGACCACAGCCTGTCTTGTCTCCTGAACGTCCGCCAGGGGGCGCCGCGAGCCGCGAAACTGGGCCCGCGTGGGCGGGATGAGCGCGCGGCCAGCGTGTCCCGGGACGCCGTGGGTGTGGCCTGAGTGTAAGTGCGCGGGACCGGGCGCGTACGGTGCGCTGCCCAGCTCTGGCGAAGAGCCCCCAGGACGTGAGCACGCGCACACTCCTGGCAGCGCGTGTGGGCAAGGAAACCAGTATGTCCCTGGTGTTACGCGTCGGGAGTTATGTACCCAGGTTGTGCAAGGGCACGTTGCCGGGCAGGGCGGGGGCTAGGGGAGCACTTCGTGCCCGAAGACACACACACACAACAAACACACACACACACACACACACACACACACACACACACACACACACACACACACACACACACACACACACACCCCGCGCGCGCCCCAGGGCTTGGTTCCCAGGCCCCCGCCACAGGAGGTGGGAGGGAGGGATGTCCCGGGGGGAGGGCCCCAGAGTCACTTTTCTTCGGAAAATATGCCGATCTGGCCCCCAGCCCAGGCCTGAGTCACCAGGCCTCGCTGCATTGAGTCACGGACTCCACCCCGCCCCTGAGGGCACGGAAGGGGGCCTCCCCCAACCCCAAATCCTGCCCAGCTCTCTCCTTCCCTGGGGGAGGGCGGGCGATCCCTGTCCCAAGTCAGCCTGACTGCCACATGGGAAGAAGCCTTGGCTTTATTCGCTCTGTGGGGACACTGTTCCGTTCAGAGGCCCCTCCCAGCCACGGGGTGGGGGACAATGGTGGGCGTGGGAATCCCAGCGAGCATCCTGGAGGGGGTGTCGTCTCCATGTATTTTGCTCTTCCCCATCTTTTCCATGGGGTCCCCTGCCAGGGTCAAGCACTAATAACGTGATGAAGGCAGCAGATAGCGTCGGGGTCCCTTTAGGGGTGGGGAGAGGGCTGTAGCACCAAGAACCCCCCTCCCCCGCCCACGACATCCCTGAAAAGACTAAAATAAAGCCCCGAGGCCTTTCTATGTAGGGGCTCCACTTAAATATGGAATGGTGATGGGCAGAGAGGCGGTGGCCCAGCAATCCTTAAGTCCAGACCACCAGCTGTGGGGAGGCTTCCAGGGGGCCAGGAGCAGGCTGGGCATTTCCAGCCACGGACAAGTGGAGGATGGAAATACCTCCAAGGGGGTACAGTCTCGGAGGAGCGAGATGGAAGGGGTTTTTCTTCCTGCTACAGGATCCTTTTAAAAGAAATGGGTGTGAAGCTGGGCACGGTGGCTCATGTCTGTAATCCCAGCAGTTTGGGAGGCCGAGGCAAGCAGATCACCTGAGATGAGGAGTTCAAGACCAGCCTGGCCAACATGGTGAAAATCCGTCTCTACTCAAAATACGAAAATTAGCTGGACATGGTGGCTCATGCTTGCAGTCCCAGCTACTCGGGAGGCTGAGGCACGAGAATCACTTGAACCCAGGAGGTGGAGGTTGCAGTGAGCCGAGATCTCACCACTGCACTCCAGCCCGGGTGACAGAGGAAGACTCTATTAAAAAAAGAAAAGAAAAGAAAAGAAAGGAAAGGAAAAGAGAGAGAGGGAGGGAGGGAAAGAAAAAGAAGGAAGGAAGGAGAAAGAAAGAGGAAAGAAAGAAAGAAAAATAAAGAAAAGGAAACAAAGAGAGAGAAAGGAAGGAAGGAAGAAGGGAGGGAAGGAGGGAGGGAGGGAATGGGTGTGGACAGAATTGGGGGCAAAAACAAAACAGAAAAGGAAGGAAGGAAGAAAAGGAAGAGAGGGAAGGAAGGAAGGAAGGAAAGAAGGAAAGAAAGAAGATTGTGTCTCCCCTCTGAGCCCCCATGGTCCCGAGACCTGAGGCTGTGATGGAGTGGGTTGAGGGTCTGGCCTGGCTGGGCAGGAGGAAGCGGAGCAGAAGAGGGTCTATCAGTCATTTCAACCACAGGGCTGCTCACCCAGGGAAGGGGCTGGGGTCGTGCCAGGAATTAGTGTGTGTTTGTGTGACTGTGTAAGTACCCTCTCCTGGGAATGTCACCTTCCATGAGGGCAGATGTATTTGTCTATTTTGTTCTCTGTGGTAATGCCCGGTGCCTAGAACAGGGCTGGGCACATAGTAGGTGCTCAATAAATATTTGAATGAAGGATGGATGGATGGATGGATGGATGCCTGCGCGTGCCAGCGTCTGTGTGATGTGCCTAAGTGAACGTGAGGCTGGAGGTGTGAAGGGCGGACAGAGAAGCCTTGTCCCTCCCGAGGTCCCCTCTAAACCCTTCCACCGGGGTGTCTGGTGGTAGTGCGGAGGGAGACCCCCGGTCCTTACAGATGGGCAAGGAGGGCAGGCAGGGCATGTGTGAGCTGGGGCAGGGGTGTGCGTGCAGCCGACTGGAGCTGGGGAGCCACAGCAGGGCCATGGGAGGGGGACCGGCTCACTCGGCAGAGCCCTTGTGGCGTCGCTTGGAGGGTGGCACCAGGCGACGGGGCAGGTTGGCGGGCAGCCCGTGACCCTCCAGCTTGGCCTCGATGAGGTGACTGGCCAGCGCGAACTCCTCGTCATCCAGCATGCCGTCGCGGTCCACGTCGCTCAGCTTCCAGATGCGCCCCAGAACCGAGTTGGGGAGTTTGGTCCCCACCATCCAGGTCTTGGCCTTGGAGCCGCTCAGCTTGCCATCGGCAGGTGCCAGGTTGTAGAAGATCTCGTCGTATTTGGACTTGTCCTTGGTCACCACCCACTCAGCCTCGTCGTCCGAACCCTCCTCGCCGTCCTCCATGGCCTCGTCAGGTCCCCGCTCCACGAACGGGCCCATGTGGGTACCCTCAAAAGCGCCCCCCTGCACGCCCACCTCGGTATTCTCCAGCTCCTCCTGCCGCAGCAGGGGCATGAGCTTGGCAATGTCGTGCGTCAGCATCTCATCCAGCGCCTCCAGCAGCTTCGGTTTCAGCGAGTGAAACTTGGTGAAGTCGTGCGCCATCAGCAGCTCCTGTGGTTGGGGACAGGGGGACCCAAAATTCAAGCGGCGCCATCCCTGAGGCCCTCAGGCTGCAAGGTGGTACCAGGACACTGGAGAAGCTCGGGGGGCAGCTTTTGTGGGTTTTTTGGTTGTTGTTTGTTTTGAGACAGAGTCTCGCTCTTGTTGCCCAGGCTGGAGTGCAAATGGCACGATCTCAGCTCACTGCAACGTCTGCCTTCTGGTTTCAAGCGATTCTCCCGCCTCAGCCTCCTGAGTAGCTGGGATTACAGGTGCACACCACTACACTCGGCTAATTTTTGTATTTTTAGTAGAGACAGGGTTTCATGTTGGCCAGGCTGGTCTCGAACTTCTGACCTTGTGATCCACCTGCCTCAGCCTCCCAGTGCTGGGATTATAGGCATGAGCCTCTATGCCCGGCTGTTTTTTGTTTGTTTTGTTTTGTTTTGACAGGGTCTCGCTCTGACACCCAGACTAAAGTGCAGTGGCACCAACATAGCTCACTGCAGCTTCCAACTCCCAGCCTCAAGCGATCCTCTGGCCCCAGTCTCCCAAGTAGCTGGGACCACAGGCACGCACCACCACACCCAGCTAAATTTTTTTTGTAGAGACGGGGGTCTCGCTATGTTGCCCAGGGTGGTCTCAAAGTCTTGGGCTCAAGCCATCCTCACACTCAGCCTCCTAAAGTGCTGGGATTGCAGGTGTGAGCCACTGCGCCCAGCCAGGGTGGCAGCTCTTTACTGACACATGCAGAAGTATTTGAAGATCTGAACAACCTGCTCTGCTCGGGCACCCACCACTCGGAAGATACTTGGGCAACAAGGTCCCGGAGGCTTTCTCCTAAACCCCAGAATTACTGGAGGGTGGGGATGCTGGGGACCCTTCGATGAGTGAGAGCAGCAACCTTCTGCCAGCTAGCAGAGAAGGATTTCAGTGTTTTCGCATCAAGTATACCTTTCTCAGAGCATCCACACCGGCCTAGAACCCTAACTGCCCTCTACTGGACTCTAGCTGCCCAGCCAGCATGCACAACATTGAAAATTTTAAAAAAACTCAGCAGGCATGGGTGGCTCACACTTGTAATCCCAGCACTTTGGGAGGCTGAGGTGGGAGAATCACTTGAGCCCAGGAGTGCAAGACCAGCCTGGACAACATGGCAAAATCATATTTCTTTTTTTTCTTTTTCTTTTTTTTTTTTTTTTGTTTTTTTTTTTGTTTTTTTGTTTTGTTTTGTTTTGTTTTGAGACGGAGTCTCGCTCTGTCGCCCGGGCTGGAGTGCAGTGGCCGGATCTCAGCTCACTGCAAGCTCTGTCTCATGGGTTCAAGCGATTCTTCTGGCTCAGCCTCCCAAGTAGCTGGGATTACAGGCACCTGCCACCACGCCCAGCTAATTTTCATATTTTTAGTAGAGACGGGGTTTTGCCATGTTGGCCAGGCTGGTCTTGAACTCCTGACCTCAGGTAATCTGCCCACCTCGGCCTCCCAAAGTGCGGTGATGACAGGCGTGAGCCACTGCACCTGGCCTCAAAACCCTATTTCTAAAAAAAAAAAAAAAAAATTAAAAATTAGCCAGGTGCGGTGGTGCACGCCTGTAGTCCCAACTACTTTGGGAGGCTGAGACAGGAGAATCTCTTGAACCCCGGGAGACAGCAGTTGCAGTGAGCTGAGATAGCACCATTGCACTCCAGCCTGGGTGACAGAGCTAGACCCTGTCTCAAAACAAACAAGGGAGGGGAGAAAAAAGAAAGTTTGGAAAGCTCAGTTCCTGCCACTGCGCTACCACACCACGCAGAAAGGACTGAGTGGCTGGCTACCAAATTTGGAGGTGAGGTTTGGGATGAAGAGATCATCAGGGGTCCCTGGGACCACCGCCTCCCCACCGAAGAAGTCACTTGGTGCTAGCGCAGCTGTAGGGTGGGCTTGGCGTCATGCCGCTGCTCACATGGGCAACTCTCAGTGGCCCAGACTGCACCAGGACTGTCTCTGCAAAGGTGCATTCCTTTCACAGCCCTGTGGGAATTTCCTGAGCCAAGGCAGAGAGGCCAGATGATCACGACTCTGAAGGGTTGGGGATCCTAGGTTGCAACCTGGATTCCCAGGCAGCCAGAGTATGACTAAGTTCAAGTCCACTGAGGCAAGCACAGGTTGCATATGCAGCTTCTACTGTTAGCCTGTCCAGTAGTGCAGCCAGTAGCCACATGTGCTTATTTACATTCATTAAAATGAAATACAGGCCGGGTGCAGTGGCTCACGCCTGTAATCCCAGCACTTTGGGAGGCCGAGGCAGGCGGATCACAAGGTCAGGAGATCGAGACCACGGTGAAACCCCGTCTCTACTAAAAATACAAAAAATTAGCCGGGCGTGGTGGCGGGCGCCTGTAGTCCCAGCTACTAGAGAGGCTGAGGCAGGAGAATGGCGTGAACCCAGGAGGCGGAGCTTGCAGTGAGCTGAGATCGCACCACTGCACTCCAGCCTGGGCGACAGAGCGAGACTCCGTCTCAAATAAATAAATAAATAAATAAATAAATAAATAAATCTTTTAAAGTATTAATTTATTGAGACAGAATCTCACTCGGTCACACAAGATGGACTGCAGTGACGTGATCTCAGCTCACTGCAACCTCTGCCTCCCGTGTTCAAGCGATTCTCCTGCCTCAGCCTCCTGAGTAGCTGGGACTACAGGCATGCGCCACCACGCCCAGCTAATTTTTGTATTTTTAGTAGAGACGGGGTTTCACCATGTTGTTCTGGCTGGTCTCGAACTCCTGACCTCAGGTGATCCACCTGCCTTGGCCTCCCACAGTGCTGGGATTACAGGCATGAGCCACTGCACCCTACCGTATATATTTTAAATATTTATATTTTACAAATATATTATATTATACAAATATATTTGTATGCAAATATATTTGTAAATTATATTTACAAATATAATATATTTGTAAAATATAAATATTTACGTCTCAAATAAATAAACAAATGAAAAATAAAATAAACAGAAACCGTTCTTTTTTTTTTTTTGAGACGGAGTCTCACGCTGTTGCCCAGGCTGGAGTGCAGTGGCACGATCTCGGCTCACTGCAAGCTCCGCCTCCCGGGTTCCCGCTATTCTCCTGCCTCAGCCTCCTGAGTAGCTGGGACTACAGGCGCCCGCCACCGCGCCCGGCTAATTTTTTGTATTTTTTAGTAGAGACGGGGTTTCACTGTGGTCTCGATCTCCTGACCTTGTGATCCGCCCGCCTCGGCCTCCCAAAGTGCTGGGATTACAGGCTTGAGCCACCGCGCCCGGCCTAGAAACCGTTCTTAAAGAGACTGTATACTTTTCTTCCCTTTCCCAACTTCTTGCTGGCTGGAACGCAGACACAGTGGCTGAAGCCTTCATAGCCCTTTTGTACCATGAGGTTCCTTGGGCCTGGAGGCCAGGCATGGAAGAGAAATAAGACAGAAAGGGACTAGATCCCTAGCTCTAAAGCACCAAACCAGTCCCGGACCACTTTCTGGGAGTTTTATGGAGGAAAGAAAGAAAAACCCTCTCTCTTAATTTAGCCACTGTTATTTTGGGTTTTCTCTTCACTCCCCTAGCCTGACTCATAAAACCACGCTCCCACGGAACTATTTGAGGGAGGCGCTTTCCAGAACCTGCCACCTATTCCTCCGGCTTTTGAGGTCCCATCTCAGAGCTTCCAGAAGCCAACCTTCCCATCACCCAGCCCCTAACACTCCCTCCCGGGCAGCTTCCCCTCCCGGGCAGCTTCCCACCTGCATTTTCTGGCAATCAGGAAAGTCCCCAGGGGAGATGTGATGTTCCAGCTGAATCTTCGCAAAGATGACGGGCAGTTTGAGGATCAGCTGCTTCTTCTTGTTCTCCTTCCCAAACACAGAGGGCATCTCCTTCTTCAGGTAGCTGATTATGTAAGCATGAACCTGTGGGAAGAGTTCTCACCTGAGCCTGCGTCAGGGTCCACCAGGGGGCTTGTTAAAACAAGCTGCTGGCCGCACTCCCAGAGATTCCCATTCACTTGGTCTGGCCTGCGGCATGAGAATTTGCGTTTCTCATCTTTTCTTTCTTTTCTTTTTTTTTTTTTTTTTTTGAGACGGAGTCTCGCTCTGTCGCCCAGGCTGGAGTGCAGTGGTGCGATCTCGGCTCACTGCAAGCTCCGCCTCCCGGGTTCACGCCATTCTCCTGCCTCAGCCTCTCGAGTAGCTGGGACTACAGGCGCCCACAACCGCGCCTGGCTAATTTTTTGTATTTTTAGTAGAGACGGGGTTTCACCGTGGTCTCGATCTCCTGACCTTGTGATCCGCCCGCCTCGGCCTCCCAAAGTGCTGGGATTACAGGCGTGAGCCACCGCGCCCGGCTCTTTCTTTTCTTTTTTTGAGACAGATTCTCGCTCTGTTGCCCAGGCTGGAGTGCAGTGGTGCAATCTCAGCTCCCTGCCACCTCCAGCTCCTGGGTTCAAGCAATTCTCGTGCCTCAGCCTCCCAAGTAGCTGGGATTAACAGGTGCGCACCACCACACCTGGCTAATTTTTTTTGTATTTTTAGCAGAGACGGGGTTTCTCCATGTTGATCAGGCTAGTCTTGAACTCCTGACTTCAGGTGATCCACCCGCCTCAGCCTCCCAACGTACTGGGATTACAGGCGTGAGCCACCGCGCCCGACCAGCTTTTTTTTTTTTTTTTTTTTTTTTTGAGACAGGGTCTTGCTCTATCGCCCAGCCAGGAGTGCAGTGGTGCAATCATAACTTACTGCAGCCTCAAATTCCTGGGCTCAAGGGATCCTCCCACCTCAGCCTCTCAAGTACCTGGGATTACAGGCAAGAGCCACTGTCTGGGTGAGAATTTGCACTTCTGACAAGTTACAGGTGCTACAGGTGGCAGCACCACACTGTGAGCCCCATGGCCTCCTCCTGCTGGGGCTCACCCTGGGCTCCTCCTCTCTTCTAACTAAGTGAGCTCAGTCCCTCCCAGTTTTAAACATCCCTTAAAGAGGTCCACTCCTGAATCTGCATACCAGCCTAAGCCTCTCTCTCCAGTTTAGGACTCAGAGCTAATTGTCTTGTCAACATTCCTGGACAGCTCCATCCCAGGATGCCCTAAGTGGAATCTGGCATGTGCCATTGCACCAGCCCGGGCGACAGAGTGTGACTCCGTCTCAAAAAAATAAATAAATAAATAAAATAAAAAAGAGTAAATAAATGCTTTTATAAAATGCAACATATCTGAAAAGAGACACAAGAAACTACTTACGGCGGTTGCCTCTAGGAAAGAGGCCCTGGGAGCTGGTGGGATGAGGTGTGGGAGAATCACGTCTGATAAAGTATGAATGCCTTTCCATGAGATGGTCTTAAATGTTCAATAAAAAAGACTTGTTGGGCCGGGCGCGGTGGCTCAAGCCTGTAATCCCAGCACTTTGGGAGGCCGAGACGGGTGGATCACGAGGTCAGGAGATCGAGACCATCCTGGCTAACACGGTGAAACCCCGTCTCTACTAAAAAATAGAGCCTGTAGTCCCAGCTACTCGGGAGGCTGAGGCAGGAGAATGGCGTGAACCCGGGAGGCGGAGCTTGCAGTGAGCTGAGATCCGGCCACTGCACTCCAGCCTGGGTGACAGAGCGAGACCCCGTCTCAAAAAAAAAAAAAAAAACAAAACAAAAACAAAAAAAAGACTTGTTAAAAAATTCTGGCCGGGCGCGGTGGCTCAAGCCTGTAATCCCAGCACTTTGGGAGGCCGAGACGGGCGGATCACGAGGTCAGGAGATCGAGACCATCCTGGCTAACACGGTGAAACCCCGTCTCTACTAAAAAATACAAAAAACTAGCCGGGCGAGGTGGGGCGCCTGTAGTCCCAGCTACTCGGGAGGCTGAGGCAGGAGAATGGCATAAACCTGGGAGGCGGAGCTTGCAGTGAGCTGAGATTCGGCCACTGCACTCCAGCCCGGGCGACAGAGCAAGACTCCGTCTCAAAAAAAAAAAAAAAAAAAAAAATTCTTTAAGAGGCCGAGGCCAGCAGATCACCTGAGGTCAGGAGTTCGAGACCAGCCTGTCCAACATGGTGAGACCCCCCCCCAGCCCCCACCGTCTCTACTAAAAATACAAAAATTAGCCGGATGTGGTGGCACCTGCCTGTAGTCCCAGCTACTCGGGAAGCTGAGGCACAAGAATCACTTTAACCTAGGAGACAGAGGTTGCAGTGAGCCGAGATCGTGCCACTGCACTCCAGCCTGGGTGACAGAGAAAGACTCCAACTAAAAAATATATATATATTTTAAAGAATCACGGATTTAGAATGCTGAGAATGTTGGTGGTCCCTGACTGGTTCTAAATCCTCATCTCTTCCACCCTCCACCACCACCCTGTCTCCAGCCCCGTTAGGCTCTCAGTTCAAACACATCAAGTAAATGGCTGCCCCAGGCCTTTGCACATGCTGTCCTCACTGCATCGACTGCTCTTCCACCCAGTTGCCACTCGGCTCGCCCCTTCCTCTCACCCCTTCCTCTCCTTCAGACCGCTCTAAGATAGTCCCTCGCCAGCCCCTCTTTCCTCCGCTTCATTTTTCTTCATAACTATTGATTTGTTTAATGTCTGCTTCCCCACTAAAAAGTAATTCTATGAGAAAAGGAATTTATCTTTGTGCCCTGCTGTATCCCCAGAGCCTAGAAGAGTGCCGCATGTGCTCGGCAACTGCTGAATGAATGTCATTGGGCCACTGCAGAGAATGTGGTCTGAAGGTTCAGGGCATCTTGGCGTCTTTAGAATCAGACCCTCCCAAGATCTTGGTCTCACGTATCACAGCATCATAAAATCGCCCCTTCTAGCAGCTATCACTTCAGTCGAAGGACCTAGAGTCAGAGGATTCGTCCACACCCTCCAACGTACAGATGGGAAACTGAGGCACTGGGAGAAGGGTGATTACCTCGGAGGGGCAGTGAACCTTGGTCACAGCGAACCCAGAATCCCATGCTCCTGTGTCCTGAGCGGCACTGGGGAGCCATGGATGAACCAGCAGGAAGAGGTGGAGGGAGTGCCTAAGGGTCTGAAGGACCAATCAGGGCAGGGGTGTGGCCGGGCTGGGGGCGGGGCCTGTGAGAGCGGGCCAATGGAGTCAGGGGGCAGGGCCGAAGGGCGGCTCCATAGGGACCAAAGGAGGGGAGGCGGGAGGGCACTGATGGCTTTTCCAGAGAGGAAGCAGGGGAAGGTGCCAGGAAGAGATAAGGTGGGAAGGCGGGCTGGGCCGGGGCTGGGTCCCTGACTCCGGGGTTTGTCTGGGTTTCCGGAGCCGCCCCCAGCCCGGCGGGGGCACCAGGTGTCTGGCCCGGCCCCACCCCTCTGTCCCTGAGCCTTGTGCTCCAGCTCCCGCCAAGGGACCCGCGGGAACGAACCTGGGGGAGTCTAAGACAGACCAGGAGGAAGACAGAGAGAAGGCGGCGGCGGAGCGGGGGAGAGATGGAGAGTCAGGAGGAGACAGACAGGGTGAGAAAGAGAAGGAAAGGGAGTTAGAATAAAAGAGAAAGTAAAAATGGAGAAGAAAGAGATTGAGAGAGAGGTAGAAAAGGGACTGATACAGAGACAGAAAAAGAGAGGGACAGACACTGCAGAGCCGCCTGGGCAGAGGAGCGCAAGGTGAATTCCGAAGGTTCCAGGAGTGGCAGCCCCGTCCACACTGGGCCGCTCCCTCCGAAGGAGGATTCCTGGGGTGGGGGTGGGGGCTCTGACTCACCCACTCTCGTTGCTCCTTAAACCAATACCTCAGGCTTCTCCACCCCCTAGAACCTTCTTGGCCTCCTTGCCTGCCCAGCTTCCTGCCCCGCCTCCACCCTGGCAGCCTCCCCTGAGAATGTTCCATTCGACATCCAAAATTGCTCTGAAACCGGCGCTCTCCTTTCTCCTCTCCCTCTGCAAGGCCTGTCCGGATCCAGGAACCTCCAAGCCTTTTGCCTCGTCTCCAGGCTCCTAGACTCACCTGCCTTGAATCCACCCTCCAAAAGGCAGCTTGAGTCGAATTATCTCCTTTCCCTGCTCTGAACTTTTCCATGGCTCCCCAGTGCCCTCGGGACAAAGCACAGATTCCCGGACACAGTCCACATTATCTCCAGGGGTCTGACTCTTAGCCACATCCTCAGCCTCAAACTGAGCTATGCACACTGTCTACACTGGGTTCTCTCCTTTCCCTGCTCCAAACCCTTCCTTGGCTCCCCAGTGCCCTTGGGACAAAGCACAGATTCCCGGACACAACCCACACCACCTCTGATCTCAGCCACATCCTCAGCCTCTAATTGAGTTATGCACACTGTCTACACTGGGTTCAACACTGACATTTCCCCTCAGATGCCCTCTCCTCCAAAGAAGCCTTCTCTGCCTGCCCCAGCTACCCCGCCCCAGCTCTGACCACACTGGGTCATCGTTGTCTGGGGATGGGTCTGTCCCCTCTCCAGGAGCCCCAGTGAGGACTGAGCCCTGGAACTGCCTTGATTATTTAGGACTGGGAGCCTCAGCAGGACAGGACTGGAACCACTGTGGTCACTGCTGTGTCTCCTGCACCACCCAACACCAGGCCGGGCATAGAGGAGATTTTGTTCAATGCAACTGTTTGTTCAATGTCATTCATTCAATAAATATTTACAGAGCACCAATTCTGTTCTGGGCGCTGGGGATAAAACAGTGAAGGAATTCAAAGAGCCCTGATTGGCTAGGCATGGTAGCTCACACCTGTAATCCCAGCACTTTGGGAGGCCAAGGCGGGCGGATTACCTGAGGTCAGGAGTTTGAGACAAGCCTGACCAACATGGAGAAACCCCATCTCTACTAAAAATACAAAATTAGCCAGGCATGGTGGTGGGCGCCTGTAATCCCAGCTACTTAGGAGGCTGAGGCAGGAGAATCGCTTGAACCCGGGAGGCGGAGGATGCGGTGAGCCAAGATTGCGCCATTACACTCCAGCCTGGGCAACAAGAGCAAAACTCCGTCTCAAAAAAAAAAAAAGGAAAAGCAAAAGAAATATTTGTGGAATAAACCAATGAACTTGGAAACCTTTGAGCCACAATCTTATAAATTATCAAAACATAAACAAGAAGGGTAGAATAATGAGTATTGGTATGTCTATATTCTACAGGAAGCTCAAAAATTCAATATAACTCATGCCTGTAATCCCAGCACGTTGGGAGGCCAAAAAGGGAGGATCACTTGAGGGCAGGAGTTCAAGACCAGCCTGGGCAACACAGTAAGACCCAGACTCTACAAAAAGTAAAAAATTAGCTGGGCGTGGTGACACGCACCTGTGGTCCCAGCTACTTGGGGCAGGCTGAAGAGGGAGGATCAGTTGAGCCCAGGAGTTTGAGGCTGTGGTGGGCTGTGATTGCATCACTGCACTCCAGCCAGGGCAAGAGAGCGAGACTCTCTCTCTTAAAAAAGAAGGAAGAGGAAAGGAAAGAGGATGTAAGGAAGGAGGAAGGGAGGAGGGAGAGAGGAACAGAGGAAGGAAGGAAGGAAGGAAGGAAGGAAGGAAGGAAGGAAGGAAGGAAGGAAGGAAGGAAGGAAGGAGAGAGAAAGAGAAGCAGAAACAGAAGCAGGAGGAGGAGAAGGAGGAGGGGAGGAGGAGGGGAGGAGGAGGGGAGGAGGAGGGGAGGAAGAGGGGAGGAGGAGGGGAGAGAAGAGGGGAGGAGCAGGAGGAAGAGGAGGAGGAGGAAGAGGAAGAAGAAATAGAAATACCAGGACAGTGAAGCCAAGGTGACACTGTGTCGACACAGAAATCCAAAGGCAGAGGAATGAGTCTCCATACAGTTCTTCCTCCCTGCTCCACTCTGTGCCAGAATGACCCAACTTCAAGAGAACTAACTAACCTGAGCACTGATAAGTCAGGGACTCACAGCACTGGTAGGGGAGGACGGAGGAAAGGCAGGGGCTCCCCTTGCACCCTCCTCCAAGAATGCGCACCCAGCCCCCAGGACGACTCACCCGCACCAGCCGGGCCCTCTTCACCAGGTCGTTGAGCTTGCGCAAGGCGGCGTGCCGGGGCAGGCCCTGGATGTCGCGAAAGAGGTCCTGCTCCTCCAGCTCAAAGAGGCGCCGATTGTCGGGCACGAGGAGAGGCTGGGACCAGAAGGAGCCGATGTAGACACGCAGCACCTCGGGCGTGCCCACCACCTTGCCCAGCGCCCACATGAGCGCGCCATAGACGCGCATCAGCTGCTGCGTCTCCACCATGTCGGCCTTGTTGAGCACTACGCGGATCTTGTCCTCATGGCCCCGCAGCGCGCCGATGGCCTCCGAGAACTCGTCCGAGATCTCCAACTTGTGCGCGTCGAAGAGCAGGATGATGAGGTCCACGCGCTCCGCGAACCAGCGCAGCACGGCCGGGAAGTCGTAGCCTGGAGTGGGAGTGGAGAGACAGGGGCGCAAGGGGCAGAAGTCAGACCCCCACCCTCCAGCCATTCAGTAGCATCCATTCTCTTGCATATTGGACTGTAAAGATGTTCACATTGTTGGCTGTCCAAATCCTGTCTAGGCAAAATAGCCAAGGCCCTCAGTGGGTACCACTGCTTTGGTTCCCCAGTCCCCAGAATTTCCCCCCACTCTGGTCCCAGCCCCTCAAGTCCTCAAGCCATCTGGTTACAGGGGTAATCATCCCCCTTTTCCTTTGCTGGAGTGCAATGGCGGGATCATGCCTCCCTGAAACCTCCGCTTCCCGGAGCTCAGGCAATCCTCCCACCTCAGCCTCCCTAGTAGCTGGGACCGCAGGCGGCCGTCACCACACGTGGCTAATTTTTTTTTTTTTTTTTTTGTAGAGACGGGGTCTCACTATGTTACCCGGGCTGGTCTCATACTCCTGAGCTCAAGTGATCCTCTTGCCTCAGCCTCCCAAAATGTTGGGATCGCAGGAGTCAGCCACCGTGCACAGCCTCCAGGCCTCCATTTTTTCATTCGCTCATTCTTTAACCAGTTATTAGTGGTGTGCTTTGTAGGTGTGCATGTGTAGGTTGTTAAAAATACTGACATGAGGCAAGGCGCAGTGGCTCAGGCCTGTAATCCCAGCACTTTGGGAGGCCGAGGTGGGCGGATCACGAGGTCAGGAGATCGAGACCATCCTGGCTAACATGGTGAAACCCCGTCTCTACTAAAAATACAAAAAATTAGCCGGGTGTGGTGGCGGGCGCCTGTAGTCCCGGCTACTTGGGAGGCTGAGGCAGGAGAATGGCGGGAACCCGGGAGGCGGAGCTTGCAGTGAGCCGAGATCATGCCACTGCACTCCAGCCTGGGCAACAGAGCAAGACTCCGTCTCAAAAAAAAAAAAAAATACTGATATGTTTGCTAAAAGATCCCCCCGTGCTTCTATGGAACCCCAAGGCTGCCACATGCCTCTATCACCCCAGCTTCTCCCCAGGATCTGTTGGATCCCCCCATGATCCAGCAACTACAGTTCATGTGCTCTTGCCATAGCAGATTTTTTTTTTTTTTTTTTTTTTTTGAGACAGAGTCTCACTCTGTCGCCCAGGCTGGAGTGCAGTGGCATGAATGCAGCTCACTGCAACCTCCATCTCCATGTTCAAGCGATTCTCCTGCCTCAGCCTCCCAAGTATCTGGGATTACAGGCATGCACCACCACACCCGGTTAATTTTTGTATTTTTAGTAGAGACGGGGTTTCACCATGTTGGCCAGGCTGAGATGTTAAATATTTTGCATTGATTTAGCAATATTTACTGAGAGTCTCATGTGTGCCAAGCCCTGTCCTGGGAGCCTGAGATACTGCAGAGAACACACAGACAAGATTCTTGCTCTGATGAAGCACCCATCCCAGCCATGGGTTCCCACGCTCATTCATTCATTCCTTTCACCATTCATTTCCTCATTCACTCCTTCATCCACCCATTCTCACCTTTGCTTGTTCACTCATTTAATCACCAGCGAGCAATGCTGAGGCGAGCATTGATTGAGACCCCCTGACTTAGCTGTCTAGAATACCTGGATTTGAATCCCTCCTCTGCCTCGATCTGCTGTGTGATCTTAGGAAAGTAGCTTAACCTCTCTGAACTTGTGTTTTCTCTTCTGTAAAATGCAGATCATAGAAGGACTGTTGTGAAGCCAGGTGTGATGGCTCAAACTTGTAATCCCAGCACTTTGGGAGGCTGAGGCAGGCAGATCATTTGAGGCCAGGAGTTCGAGACCAGCCTAGCCAACATGGCAAAACCCCCATCTCTACTAAAAATACAAAAAAATTAGCCTGGTGTTGGTGGCTCATGCCTATGGTCCCAAATACATGGGAGGTTGTGGCACGAGAATCGTTTGAGCTTGGGAGGCAGAGGTTGCAGAGAGCAGAGATAGCATCACTGCACTCCAGCCTGGGTGACAGAGTGAGACTCTGTCCACCCCCCCTGCCCAAAAAAAAAAAGGACTGTTGTAAAGATTAAAAGAATATAAATGAGTTTATATATATATATATATATATATATATATAGAGAGAGAGAGAGAGAGAGAGAGAGAGAGCGAGCTTAAAATAATGCCTGGCATTGAACTGTCCACTTAAAAATTATGTAGGTGGCTGGGCACAGTGGCTCATGCCTGTAATCCCAGCACTTTGAGAGGCTGAGGCAGGAGGATCGCTTGAGTCTGGGAGTCTGAGACCAGCCTAGGCGAGATGACATTCCCTGTCTCTACAGAAAAAAATAAAAATAAAAAATTATCCACGCGTGGTGGCATGCATCTGTAGTCTCAGCTACTCAGGAAGCTGAAGCAAAAGGATCACTTGAGCCCAGAGGTTGGAGGCTGCAGTGAGCCACAGTTGTGTCACTGCACTCCAACCGGCAGACAGAGCAAGACCTTGTCTCTCTCTCTTTTTTTTAAATGGTTGAGCTTTTTTTTTTTTTTTTTTTTTTTGAGGCAGAGTCTTGCTCTGTCACCAGGCTGAAGTGCAGTGGTGCGATCTCAGCTCACTGCAATCTCTGCCTCTCGGATTCAAGCGATTCTCCTGCCTCAGTCAACCGAGTAGCTGGGATTACAGGCGCCACCACACCCAGCTAATTTCCCAGACACACCCGTGTTCACAATGTGGGACCTGCACAGATGTTTGTAGTCACACAATCACAAAGACAATATGAGATGCACACACATCACAGACAGAGACCTGCACGAACACAGGTACAGAGGCACATGTGCACACCCAGACACAATCGCACACACATAACCTCCCATGCCCTCCCAAACCCAAAGGCACCCACACAGACACACACACAGTTACACAAAAGATACACTCCTGTACACACACACATTCTCACATACACAACACCACACAGAAGCACACAACTGTATCCCGAGGTACAATCACAGGTAGTCACACACAGCCCAACAAAATCCCCGCAGCCCTGTACCGCCCAACGCAGCCACACAAAGTCACACACAGCCCAGATACACATATATGCCTCATGCACAGGCACACAATGTCAGACTCACACCCACAATGACACACACTAAATCCACAGACACATAGACAAACGATGCCCTTCATGTCTCTCTCACACACACACTTATATACACTTCACAATATAACAATATATAGAGACAGAATCAGTTGCACACAATCCCACAAAGTCTCCCATAGCCCCACACAGCCCTTCAGAGTCACACAGAGTCATCCAGCAGGCCGGGCACAGTGGCTCACACCTGTAATCCCAGCACTTTGGGAGGCCAAGGCAGGAGAATCACCTGAGGTCCAGAGTTTGAGACCAGCCTGGCCAACATGGTGAAACTCTTGTCTCTACTAAAAAAAAAAAAAAAAAAAATACAAAAATTAGCCGGACATGGGTGTGGCGGGTGCCTGCAGTTCCGGCTACTCAGGAGGCTGAGGCAGAAGAGTCACTTGAACTCGGGAGGCGAAGGTTGCAGTGAGCTGAGATCGCGCCACTCCACTCCAGCCTACGTGACAGTGAGACTCTGTCGCAAAAACAAACGAACAAAACAAAGTCATCCAGCCACAATTATAGGCACACGCATACACACACACACACACACACAGAGGCAGGTACACAATTCAAAGTCACACAACCTCAGAGCCAAGGCCATGATGAGGCACGTCCACTGCTATACACAAATGCATGGAACCACCGCACCCACATTCACAGCGACACACTTTCCCAAGATACACACAGAGTCACACACACACCAACAGCTGGACACTCTCTCCTCCTCTTCCTCTACCCCCAAGGCCAGGAAGGGAGACCCCGTTCCCCACTCCCCCACCACCCATGGCCTTTGGACGCCCCTGCTGGCACCCCTGCCCTGGCTGAGAGAGCCACTCCCTCCCGTTGTCCCAGGCCCAGGCCCTGGGGTGGGAGCCCCAGGAATTCCTCCCCCTCAGCTGGCAGCACGTCCTCCCAATCGTTTCTGCAGCTGCCTCCTGCCGTTCTCCCGTGGGGCCTCTGGACGGCGGCCAGGGACACCGTCACCCCCGGCGTCCCCGCCCCACCCCAGGCCCAGCCTCCTTGCCAGGGCCTCTCATCCCCTCTGCCCCACATGGCAGCCTCCTTTGCCCCAGTTCCCGGCCTCCGAGGCCATGGGGGGTGGGGGACACAAGTTCGTGGGGCTGGGGGGCCACAGATGCTGAGCTGGGCTGGGCAGGAGTGGTGGGGGCTCAGCACACCCGGAGGCCCCCGCTGGAATCCACCCCCCGCCGCTCTCCTTGCACAGCTGTTTATAAATTCCAGGCCTGGCCTTGGCCCCCACCCAGATTCCCTTCCCATCCTCTTCTCAGCCCCATCTGTGGCCCAGACGCAGAGCCAGGAGCTCACAGGGCCCAGCTTCCCCTGCCCGGGCTCTGCCTCATCTCTGGGCCTTGTGTCTCCCTGCATCACTGTCTCACTGCCTCGGAATCCCTGTCCCTCTTCATCTCTCCCTTCCCATCCTTCCTGCCTGCCCAGACGTGCGGCTCCTGCCCGCTCGCACCACGTGGTCACTCACACGCCTCCCCCACCCATCGATGCGAGCCAGCACGGAGCAGTCACGGCTTCCACTAGCTCCCTGGGCTGCCCTGCCAGCCAGGGCCAGAGGATGCAGGCCCAGGTCCCAGTGGAGACACCGCCCCTCCTCCTCTAGACCCAGGAGTCCAGATCCCAGGCCCTCATCCGTCAGACCCAGGAGTCCAGGCCCAGCCCCTCCTCCCTCAGACCCAGGAGTCCAGACCCCCGCCCCTCCTCCTCTAGACCCAGGAGTCCAGATCCCAGGCCCTCATCCGTCAGACCCAGGAGTCCAGGCCCCCAGCCCCTCCTCCCTCAGACCCAGGAGTCCAGGCTCAGCCCCTCCTCCCTCAGACCCAGGAGTCCAGACCTCCAGCCCCTCCTCCCTCAGACCCAGGAGTCCAGACCTCCAGCCCCTCCTCCCTCAGACCCAGGAGTCCAGACCTCCAGCCCCTCCTCCCTCAGACCCCAGGGTCCGGCCCCCAGCCCCTCCTCCCTCAGACCCAGGAGTCCAGGTCCCCAACTCCTCCTCCCTCAGACCCAGGGGTCCAGGCTCAGCCCTTCCTCCCTCAGACCCAGGAGTCCAGGCCCCCAGCCCCTCTTCCCTCAGACCCAGGAGTCCAGGCCCAGCCCCTCCTCCCTCAGACCCAGGAGTCCAGGCCCCCAGCCCTTCCTCCCTCAGACCCAGGAGTCCAGGCCCAGCCCCTCCTCCCTCAGACCCAGGAGTCGAGGCCCAGCCGCTCCTTCCTCTGACCCCAGGGTCCAGCCCCACTCACCGCGGCTCACTCTCTGTTTGGCACCCGACAGGATACCCGGGGTGTCGATGATGCTGATGCTTTCCAGGACCTGATTGGGGAGCTGGGCACACATGAACCTGGGGGGTAGAGGGAAGGTCAGAGGTCAACACAGGGAAGGACAGAAGGAGGGAAAACATGAAGAGGGACTCGGGACAGCATGACAGAGCATCCTGTATGGGCGAAGAAAGACTCCAGACAGAAAAAGGGTGACCAGGACCATCTCAGAGCTGTAACCAGTCACAGCTCATGTTCGGTAAGCACTTAATTTGTGCCAGGTGCGTTCTTTTTTTTTTTTTTTTTTAGATAGAGTTTTGCTCTGTCACGCAGGCTGGATTGCAGTGGCACTATTTTGGCTCACTGCAACCTCCGCCTCTCAAGTTCAAGTGATTCTCCTGCCTCAGCCTCCCGAGTAGGTGGGATTACAGGCATGCACCACCACGCCCGGCTAATTTTTGTATTTTTAGTAGAGACAGGGTTTCGCCATGTTGGCCAGGCTGGTCTCGAACTCCTGACCTCCGGTGATCTGCCCACCTTGGCCTCCCAAAGTGCTGGGATTACAGGTGTGAGCCACCGCACCCAGCCACCAGGTGCTGTTCCAAGTCCTCACAGCAACCATGGCATAGAGACCATGGTGATTCTCTTTTTTTTTTTTTTAGACCGAGTCTCACCGCACCTGGCCCAAGGTGATTGATCCCCATTTTGCAGATGAGGCTACAAGAGGGGCAGAGAGGTCAAGTCATTTGCCTGAGGCCACCCAGCTGGCGGGGATTTGAACCAGGCATGCTGACTTCACTAGCCTAGGTGCTCCCCTGAATAAGAGAGCAGAGACAGGCATGGGAAGAATTGGGTAGAGAGAAGGGAATTGGGGCTGAGAAGGAGGGAAACACAGTCAGGGAGGGGACAGAGAAGGGGGACAGCAAGATGCACCCCCAGGGCCGGGTGCGGTGGCTCACGCGTGTAATCCCAGCACTTTGGGAGGCTGAGGCGGGTGGATCACTTGAGGCCAGGAGTTCGAGACCAGCCTGGCCAACATGGTGAAACCCCGTCTGTACCTAATAATACAAAAACTCGCTAGGCGTGGTGGCGGGTGTCTGTAATCCCAGCTACTCAGGAGGCTGAGGCAGGAGAATCGCTTGAACCCAGGAGGTGGAGGTTGCCGTGAGCTGAGATCGCACCACTGCACTCCAGCCTGGGCGACTAGAACGGAAACTACGTCTCAACAAAAAGAAAAAGAAGGATGCGCCCTGGGCCCGCGGCTGGCACACCTGTTGAGGAAGGTGTTTCCGAAGGGGTTGAGTTTGCGGAAGGGCTTGTCCGGGTCCACGACGAGGGCGTTGCCGGGCACGGTGCCCTCAGTGTCCCCATGCATGACGGCCACAAAGCAGTCGGTGGTGGGCTCAGGCCCCACGCGGGAGCCGGGCACCTCCTGCTCCAGCAGGTACTGGATGAAGCTGGTCTTGCCCGTGCTGTACTGGCCAGCCACCAGCACCATGGGCTTGCCGTCGAAGTCTGCATCCTCCAGGGCCGGCGAGTGGAAGGCCCCGAAGCGGTAGTGCTCCTCCAGCGGCAGCAGCTTCGTGCGGTACAGCTCCTTGAGGGCCGAGGTCACCGTGCGGATGGCCTCGGGCTGCTGGCCCCGCGCCCCGCCCCGCTTCAGCCAGCTGAACATGGTGGCGGCACACTGCCCACTGGGTTCACGGAGAGACGTGCAGATGGAGAGCTGCCTGTGGGATGGGGAGAGGGCATGAGCATGGGCGGCCTGGCCAAGGAGGAAGAAAGGGGTCTGAGTATAGACTGTCTGGGTGGCAGGATGGGTGGAGAAGGAGGAGGAGCACAGATATTTGTGGTCACAAATATGTGGTCACAAAGCATGGATTGTGGGTGGCAGGAGGAAGAATGGAATTGGGATAGGCACGATGGTTCACGCCTGTAATCCTAGTATTTTGGGAGGCCGAGGCAGGAGGATTGCTTGAGGTCAGTAGCTCAAGATCAGCCTGGGTAAAATAGTGAGACCCCCATCTCTACAAAAAAAAAAAATTAGCTGGGCATGGTGGCACATGCCTGTAGTCCCAGCACTTTGGGAGGCTGAGGCAGGAGGATTGCTTGAGCTCAGGAGTTCAAGGCTACAGTGAGCTATGATCATGCCACTGCACTCCAGTCTGGGCTACAGAGCAAGACCCCATCTCAAAAAACAAACAAACAAACAAACAAACAAAACCTGGGTGCAGTGGCTCATGCCTGTAATCCCAGCACTTTGGGAGGCCAAGGCAGGTGGACCACCTGAGGTCAGAAGTTTGAGACCAGCCTGCCCAATATGGTGAAACCCTGTCTCTACTAAACATATAAAAAATTAGCCAGGCATGGTGGTGGCCACCTGTAATCCCAGCTACTCAGAAGGCTGAGACAGGAGAATCACTTGAACCCGGGAGGCGGAGGTTGCAGTGCGCCAAGATCCCACCACTGCACTCAACAGAGTAAGACTCCATCTCAAAAAAACAAAAACAAAAAAACAACAACAAAAAAAAGAGGAGATGATAGTGAACCAGCTGAAGGAAGAGAAAGAAGAAAGATGAATGGTGACGTGGTTGAAGAAGGGGGATTGATGGTGGTAATGGAAAACCAAGAGATGGACAAGGCGAAAGATACAGAAGCTGCCTGGAAGAAACGGATTCCTTAATCACTTCATTCATTTCTTCCTCCCTTCACCCTTCCATCATTTGACACGTTTTCACTGAAATCACTCACTCCATGCTTCAGGCACTGTGGACCCAGAAACCAGTCAGAGATCGTCCCTCACCCACCCAGAGCCTCTAATGAGGACCTAGACACAAGCCAGACATCCAGAGGAGGGCGTGAGAAAGCGACCACAGCACCAGTAAGACTCAGGGCAGGGCTGACTTTTGAGCTGCTCCATGAACAGCAGGCAAGACAAGGGGATTTAGGCAGAGAGGACGGTGCATGCAAAGGTCTGGGGGTGTGAGAGGTCCTGGTGTGTTGGGAGCCATGAAATATCTGGGTGGTTGACACAGGGGCACAAAGAGGAGGGTTGAGAAATGGAGCTGAGAAGGTTGCCTGGGTGTACCCAGGTCATGAGGGCTGTTGAGTGTTAAGAAAAATGAGGCAACATTTATGATCACTGCATGCCAGGCACTGTACTAACTCACTTAACCTTCATAACCCTGTAAAGTAGGTCTATTACCATCCCCGCTTTTCCTTGTCTTTTTTTTTTTTTTTTTTTTTTTTGGAGATGGAGTCTCACTCTGTAGCCCAAGCTGGAGTGCAGTGGCACAATCTCCGCTCACTGCAACCTTCACCTCTGCGGCTCAAGAGATTCTCCTGCCTCAGCCTCCCAAGTAGTTGGGACTAGAGGCATGCGCCACTACACCCAGTTAATTTTTTTTTTTTTTGTATTTTTAGTAGAGACAGAGTTTCACTATGTTGCCCTGGGTAGTCCCAAACTCCTGAGCTCAGGTGATCCACCCGCCTCGGCCTCCCAAAGTGTTGGGATTACAGGTGTGAGCCACCATGCTGGCTCATCTCTGTTTTGTTTTGTATTTTTTTTTTGAGACGGAGTCTCGCTCTGTCACCCAGGCTGCAGGCTGGAGTGCAGTGGCACGATCTCAGCTCACTGCAAGCTCCGCCTCCCAGGTTCCTGCCATTCTCCTGCCTCAGCCTCCTGAGTAGCTGGGACTACAGGCGCCCGCCACCACACCTGGCTAATTTTTTGTATTTTCAGTAGAGACGGGGTTTCACCGTGTTAACCGGGATGGTCTCGATCTCCTGACCTCATGATCCGCCCACCTCGGCCTCCCAAAGTGCTGGGATTAAAGGCATGAGCCACCATGCCCGGCCTCATCTCTGCTTTTTTAACAAGGCAAAGGAGGCTCAGCAACAAGGCAAATGAAGACAGCAATAAATTACCCAAGATCACTTAGCTAGAAAATGCTCGAACTGGGACTCAAACCCAGGCAACCTGACCTCAGAGCTTGCAATCCTATTGTAGGTCTAAAGATCTGAGTTAGGGAGGTTAACCATGACCAATCCAGGAGCAATGAGCACCTCCAGCACCCAGACTGTGTTCTCTATCTTCCCTTACTATCCTTTTATTTACCATAGGATCTGTAGTGATGTCCCCTCTTTCATTTCTGATACCAGCCATATGTGTGTGTCTTTACTTTTTTTTTTTTTTTTTTTTTTTGAGGCGGAGTCTCGCTCTGTCGCCCAGGCTGGAGTGCAGTGGCGCGATCTCGGCTCACTGCAAGCTCCGCCTCCCAGGTTCCCGCCATTCTCCTGCCTCAGCCTCCCGAGTAGCTGGGACTACAGGTGCCGCCACCACGCCCGGCTAATTTTTTTGTATTTTTTTAGTGGAGACGGGGTTTCATTGTGTTAGCCAGGATGGTCTCGATCTCCTGACCTCGTGATCCGCCCGTCTCAGCCTCCCAAAGTGCTGGGATTACAGGCTTGAGCCACCGCGCCCGGCCGTCTTTACTTTTTTAAAAAAAGAAAAACAAAAACGATTGGTCCCGTTGATGCTTATGATTTTACTGATCTTTTCAAAGAATCAACTTTTGGTAAGACGGGAGTCTCTAAATACCATTCACCACTAAAAGAACCTGGGACTCCTTAGAGAAATGGTGGATTCCAGGGCTGGGGCAGGGAAGAACAAGTGAGCCTGGGTCAGACGGTGAGGAAGTGCTCAAAGGCGGATTGGGCATGTTACAGGAACAGAGGACCCAGCTTGCAGGGGTGGCCAATGGTCAAAAATGGAGCAATTTGAGCATCAGAATAACTGCAAATCAAATATGCTAAAATCCATAAAATCATGAGACTTTTAAAAGGGGTGGCGAGGGGGTGGGGGAGATAAAAGGAAAGGGAGTTTGTGAAGGAGTGGCAGGAGCGGAAAAGAGAGGCAGGATCTGGGATGTGGGCAGAGGGAGAGGGCTCTGGGCGGTGTCCCAGGCAGGGAGGGCCCTGAGAGAGTGTTGGGGAGAATGCCATCAGCAGTGGCCGATGGAGCTGGTGAGGCTGGAGAGGGGCTCTTGGGTGGCTGGAGGGGCCAAGTTAGCCGATATGGATGAGGGCCTGGATGGAGACCCTGCCCAGAGGATCTCTAGCCAGGGGATAGGGAGGGGTGTTGGGGGAGGATGGAGGAGATTAGGGGAGTGGGAGAGGCTGCGGAAGAGTGAGGGGACTGGTGGAGTGGGGGACATGGTTACAGACTGGGGGGACTGGTGAAGACTGGGAGGGATTGGGGAACACCTGGGGAGACCGTTACAGACTGGGGATAGGGTGGCGGGGAGCAGGGATCAGGCATGAGGAACCAGGGCAGGCTCGGGCGGGGGTCGTGAGGCGACAGCTGCGATGCTGGGAGCACTCACCGACGGGGCGCGCTGGCGGCTGCAGCGGGCTGGGCAGGCTGGGCGGGGGTGGGGTCCCGCAGGGATCCGAGGCGCCCGCGGAGCGGCCTGTGCTCGCGGTCTTGTCCGGAGCCGTCTGAGCCGGGTGGGGCCCGGAGCGGGGAGGACGGGAGGGAGGACAGAAGGGAGGGGAGGGACGAGGAGCCCCCCCTCAAAACCGGGCGCCCGGCCTCTGGCGCCCCCTTGTGGGGAGTGGGGAAGACGCCTTAGCGCCGCGGGCGAGAGCTCCAGCGTCACGTATGGGATTCGAATTCCACCTCCACCTCCGGCGTTGGGCTGCTCCCCAATCCGTCTCTCTTCTTAACACGGGAATCACAACAGCAGCAGCAATAAGAGTAACAATAACTTAGGTCGGGCGCCCTGGCTCACGCCTGTAATCCTAACACTTTGGAAGGCCAAGGTGGGAAGATTGCTTGAGGCCAGGAGTCCAAGACCAGCCTGGGCAACACAGCAAGACCCCATGTCTATTAAAAATAATAATAAATAATAAAATAATTTAGCCAGGCACAGGAGTGCACACCTGTAATCCCAACAACTTGGAAGGCTGAGGTGGGAGGATTGCTTGAACCCAGGAGGTCGAGGCTGCACTGAGCTAGGATTGTGCCACTGCATTCCAGCCTGGGTGACAGAGCGAGACCTCACCTCTAAAAAAAAATTATAGGACCGGGCACGGTCCTATAATTACACGCCTGTAATCCCAACACTTTGGGAGGCGAGACAGGTGGATCACTTGAGGTCAGGAGTTCAAGACCAGCCTGGCCAACATGGTGCAAACCCATCTCTACTAAAAATACATGGGAGGCCGAGGCCGGCAGATTACAAGGTCAGGAGATCGAGATCATCCTGGCTAACACGATGAAACCCCGTCTCTACTAAAAATACAAAAAATTAGCTGGGTGTGGTGGCAGGTGCCTGTAGTCCCAGCTACTTGGGAAGCTGAGGCAGGAGAATCACTTAAACACAGGGGAGGCGGAGCTTACAGTGAGCGGAGATTGTGCCACTGCACTCCAGCCTGGTTGACAGAGCAAGACTCCGTCTCAATAAATAAATAAATAAATAAATAAATAAATAAATAAAATACAAAAATTAGCTGGGTGCAGTGGCACGTGCCTGTAGTCCTAGCTACTTGGGAGGCTGAGGCAGGAGAATCACTGGAACCCAGGAGGCAGAGGTTGCAGTGAGCCGAGATCACATCACTGCATTCTAGCCTGGGCGACAGAGTGAGACTCCATCTGCAATAAATAAACAAATAAAAATAGTATTACTTTTAAAACTTAAGGGAGTTCATGAAACTTCTCGGCTAACAACCCTCCCTGGCTCTCCTCTCTCTCAGAGTAAAAGCCAAAGTCCCCACCAAGGCCCACAAAGCCTAGCATGATCCACCTACATCTCCCCTGTCCCTTTTCATCAGGCGACTCCAGCCACCGTGGCCTCCTCACCGTTCCTCAGACACACCCACAACCCTCCAGATTCACGGCCTTTGCACTTGCTGACCCCTCTTTGTGGAGTACTTTCCCCACAGGGATCTGAATACCTCACTCTCTCCCCTTCTTCAGGTCCCTGCTCAAATGTCACCTCCTCAGAGAAGCCCTCCAGGATCGCCCCGCCTAAGGTAGAACCCACTCTCTACCTCTTATCACTGCCCTATTTTTCTCCACAGCCCTTCCAACCACTCTGCATATTCCACGTTTCTCTGCCTAAGGGAATGTCTTCGCCTGGAGAACATGAGCCCCATGAGGGCTTTGCACAATGCCCAGCTCACTGCAGGGGCTCAGTAAACATTTGTAGAAACAATCCCTAATGTTGACTAAGCCATTCCTACGTGCAGGTGCCACTCTGAGCTCTTTGCATGCATGTATTAGCTCATCGAACCCTCATAATATCTCCAAGAAACAGGAGTCTTGGGTTTTTTTATTTTCTTTTGTTTTTGAGATCGTCTCACTCTATCACCCAGGCTGGAGTGCAGTGGCATGATCTCGGCTCACTGCCACCTCCACCTCCCGGGTTCAAATTATTCTCCTGCCTCAACCTCCCGAGTAGCTGGGATTACAGGTGCCCGCCACCATGCTCGGTTAATTTTTGTATTTTTAGTAGACACGTGGTTTCACCATGTTGGCCAGGCTCATCTCAAACTTCTGACGTCAAGTGATTTACCCACCTCAGCTTCCCAAAGTGCCGGGATTATAGGCATGAGCCACCGTGCCCAACAGAATTGTATGCTTTAAATGGGTGAATTGCATGGCTTCTGAATTATATCTCAATAAAAGTGATATTATATATATTATATTATTATAATATAATTATAGCATATTATTTCTTTTTTCTTTTTTTTCTTTTTGGACACAGACTCTTACTCTGTTGCCCAGGCTGGAGTGCAGTGGTGCGATCTCGGCTCACTGCAACCTCTGCCTCCCGAGCTCAAGCGATTCTCGTGCCTCAGCCTCCCGAGTAGTTGGGATTGCAGGCGTGCACCACCACGCCCAGCCAATAACCTATTACTATAATATTACTATTATATATATAATATATAAAAGGTCTGGAGCTTAATGATGACTTATGTTACTGTTGCTACTGCTAGGAGACAGGCCCTGTTCCAAAAGCATCACCTAAATCATCTGCCTTCCCCAGGAGGGCAAGTGCTGTTATTATTGTTATTATTATTATTCTTCCTATGTCTCAGATGGGAAAGTTGAGGTACAAGGAAGTAGAGTCTCAGAGGTGGGTGCAGTGGCTCATGCCTATAATCCCAGCACTTCGGGAGGCTGAGGCAGGGGATTGCTTGAGGCTAGGGGTTCAAGACCAGCCTGGGCAACATAGTGAGACCCTATCTCTGCAAGATAAAAAAAATCTAAAAATTAGCCGAGTGTGGTGGTGCACACCTGTGGTCCCAGCTACTCGGGAGGCTGAGGTGGGAGGATCACTGGAGCCTAGGAGGCTGAGGCTGCAGTGAGCTGTGATGGTGCCACTGCACTCCAGCCTGGGTGACAGAACAAGACCCTGTCTCAAACAAACAAACAAAAAAAGTAGAGTTTGGCCTGCCAAGGTGTGGAAGAACTCGGAGTTGAGCCAGAGTTGTCTGATGGGAGAGTCTTGTTTCGCTTCTACCCCAGGACTTCTCAACCTGTTGCAAAGCATTCCGGAGGATCGGCTGGGCGCGGTGGCTCACGCCTGTAATCCCAGCACTTTGGGAGGCCGAGATGGGCAGATCATTCGGTCAAGAGATCGAGACCATCCTGGCTAACACGGTGAAACCCCCTCTACTAAAAATACAAAAAAATTAACTGGGCGTGGTGGCGGGCGCCTGTAATCCCAGCTACTTGGGAGGCTGAGGCAGGAGAATGGCATGAACCCAGGAGGCGGAGTTTGCAGTGAGCCAATATCGTTCCACTGCACTCCAGCCTGGGTGACAGAGTGAGACTGTCTCAAAACAAAACAAACAAAAATAAAACATTCCAGAGGATCTGTGAGCTTAGATGGGGGGTGAGGGGAAGACATCTGGAGTTTTCACTGAAATTCAGTTTCTGTCAACCACAAATATGACCAGCAAAGCGCAGTGGCATTAGCACGACCTGGGTCCCCGCCACCCAGAGGAATCACTGATGTGTTCACCAGTTGGCAGTTGTGGATTTTTTTTTTTTTTTTTTTGGAAACTGGGTCTCCCTCTGTTGCCCAGGCTGGAGTGCAGCAGTGAGATCTCAGCTCACTGCAAACTCTGCCTCCCGGGTTCAAGTGATTCTCATGCCTCAGCCTCCCCAGTAGCTGGGACCACAGGTGCCCACCACCAAGCCTAGCTAATTTTTTGTATTTTTTTAGTAGAGACGGGGTTTCACCGTGTTGCCCAGGCTGGTCTCGAACTCCTGAGCTCAGGCAATTCACCCGCCTTGGCCTCCCAAAGTGCTAGGATTACAGGCATGTGCCACCGCGCCCGGCCCAGTTGTGGATATTTTCAGCGACTGTATACACTTATTGCTCACAGGCCCCACTGCCAGCTCTCTCTAGTGAATGCACTGATGCAGGTTGGCCCACAGCCCAGCCTGCCATGTACTGCATCTTTGGCGCCTCAATTTCCTCACCTGCAAGCTGGGCCTATTAGTTCCCACGCTGGGCGTGCTGTGAGGACCCACGCAGTTCCCTGTTTAGCAAAGTTTAGTCACTGTTGTTCTTCTGCTCTGCCTGCAGGCAGTCAGCCTTCCGGAACTGAGTCCCAGAGCCCGTGGAAATTGTAGATGAGTCTTTGTGAGTAATCAGGAGGGGTCTTTCAGGACAGTCTCTCTGAGAGTTTTGTGAGCCAAGGATGTTAAGAAATGGCCATTTAGGCTGGGCACAGTGGTTCACACTTGTAATCCCAGCACTTTGGGAGGCCGAGGAGGGGGGATCGCTTGAGCCCAGGAGTTCAAGACCAGCCTGGGCAATATGGTGAAACCCCGTCTCTACCAAAAATGCCAAAAAAAAATTACCCGAGCATGGTGGTGCACACCTGTTAATTCCAGCTACTTGGGAGGCTGAGGCAGGAGAATGGCTTGAACCCAGGAGGAGGAGGTTGCAGTGGACCAAGATCGTGCCACTGCACTCCAGCCTGGGCAACACAGCGAGACTCCATCTAAAAAAAAATTAATTTTTTTAAAAGAAACAGCTGTTTTCCTATAGTGTTTTATTTTGCATGTGGAAGGGGTAGTTCTAGGGCTAGGAAAGGGGATGGTCCATCCCTCAGGTACCCCAGAAGTCAGCTTCCCACCCACACACAACCCCAGGGGGACCACTGCCATGGCTCACGCCTGTAATCCCACCGCTTTGGGAGGCTGATGTGGGAGGACTGCTATAGACCAGTGAGACCCCTGTCTCTACAAAAAATAAAAATAAAACAATAAAAATTATCCAGGCAAGGTGGTATGCACCTACTCAGGAGGCTGTGGCAGGAGGATCCTTTGACCCCAGGAGTTCGAGGCTTTAGTGAGCTATGATCGCACCACTGCACTCCAGCCTGGGTGACCCAGTGAGATCTTCTCTCTCTCTCTCTCTCTCTTTTTTTTTTTTTTTTTTTGTGAGACGGAGTCTCGCTCTGTCGCCCAGGCTGGAGTGCAGTGGCGGGATCTCGGCTCACTGCAAGCTCCGCCTCCCGGGTTCACGCCATTCTCCTGCCTCAGCCTCCCGTG